CGGAGCGGAGCGGCCGCGGTGTCCGGCGGGGACCGGGGCTGCTGCCGCGGTCGGGCTGCAGCGGGAGCCGCGTCGCCCATGGGCGCTGTGGCGACCCCGAACGCGGATCCGTCCCCCGCCAGCCACGACACCGAGCCTGGCGCCGCGGCCGCGCCCGACAGCCCTCGCCCGCCTTCCAGCCTCTGCAGCAGCCCCGGCTCGCTCCTGCCCGACAGCCTCCAAGCCTTTCCCGGCCTCGACTCGCCCAGCATCCAGTGTGACAGCCTGGAGTGTCCCCCCTGCTCGTGCTGCTGCTGCTGCCGCCGGAGCGCGGGCTCGGCCGCGGCCAGCGAGGACAGCCTGCAGGCCGCTCTCGCCCGCGGCTCCGGCACACGGTGCTTCGGCGGGCACCGCTCCTCCAGCGACCTCTCCGACAGCCTGGAGTCCTTCATCCAGCACGACAGCCTCCAGTCGCTCTCCAGCCTGGGTGTGAGCTCCTCCAGTATCAGCGGTGATAGCCTTGAATCCCTTTCCAGCCTGAGCCTGGGGGCCACCAGCCAGCACAGCGATCTCGAGATCGGCCAGTGAGTCTGCCTTCGGCTTCCCGCACAACGCCTTGCTGCTGGCGCTCTGCCAGTGCCACGCTTCTGCCCTTCGTTCGAAGGTGACGTTGTTCCAGGTGATCCTTGCTGTATCCAGTGCAATAACCTCAGACCTTACTGTGGCTGCCATTCCCAAATAAAGTGCTTCAGAGGGGCAGTACTCATTATTACCTGCAGTGTTACCACTGATTTTTTGTCACCAGTTAAGAATGGAAGTGCGTGGTCCTCAGAGGAATCCCAGCTACCTCTCAGATCTCTATGAGAACATGTTAAGGGCTCAAGGAGCAGTGGCACAAAGGCAGCAGCAGCCCCCAGCAATCCATACAAGTAGCAGCAAGACTTTTCGGAGCAGTGCCCCAGCCAAGGAGAGCCCCCAGGCAAATAATCATGCGAGCAGCACTTCCTCCAGCTGTGACCCAGCCCTACGGCCCATCATGCGTCGCCGAGCGAGGTCCCTGCCGACATCACCCGAGAGGAGGAAGAAAGCAGCACTGCAGTGTCAGGAGCCTGGCTGCCACAGCCGCATGAACCGGGTCAGGTTTGCTGATGCTTTAGGTTTGGAGCTCACTGAAGTGAAAGTCTTCCAGACTGGGGAGGATCCATCCATCCCTTTGCACGTCCTTTCCAGGCTGTCCATAAACTCAGATCTCTGGTGCAGCAACTTGAACTTGGAGTTTACTATGCAATGCTTGGTCCCGGACTTCCAGCAGCCTGCAGACTGTCTGGATTTCTCATCCCGACTCCAGGAGCAGCAGGTGTGTCTGGAACGGGTGACCAGCTCAGATCTGGGGCTCAGTGGCACCATCCAGGTTCGCAATGTTGCTTTTGAGAAGCAGGTGTCCGTACGCTACACCTTCAACCAGTGGGAAAGCATCCACGAGGTGTGTGCTCGTTGGAACTGCAGCATCCCAGAGAAAAACGGGCAGGATCAGGTTGATGTGTTCACTTTCTTTCTTCCTGTGCCTCCTTTCCTCCTCCAGCTGAGCACTCTCGTCCAGTTTGCAGCAAGGTACCAAGTCAACGGCCAGGAGTACTGGGATAACAACAGAGGCAAGAATTACACCCTCAGGTGCCGGACTCATCCCCTGAAGCTGCCGAGGGAGTGTGAGGAGAGCTGGATCCACTTCATCTGAACAGAGAGAGTGGTGCTGAGCAGTGTGTCAGTGGTCTGGTGGCACTCTGTCCCTTGGCATGGCGCTCTGCTCCTATGGCAACAGTCTTCTTTTTGAAACCTGCCAAGCCTGGCCAAGTGTGCCAGGGCTGGGAGGCAGCCAGTGGCTTATACAAACTGCCCTAAACCTCTGGGAAAGTTAAAATGGCCAGAATCTGTCGTGAGATACCATCATAGAAAAGCCATGTGGGTTTTTTGAGTTGCATGAGTCATTGCAGAATGGTTCCCAGGAATGCTATGAGGCTACCAGAGAGCAAAACAACACATTTCTTGTTGCTAGTCATACTCTTGGTTGCATAGAATGTTTCGAACTTATCTCTTACCATTTTCTACAGTTTGTTTTCTAAGTGGACAGTGTGGCTTAACTGGTTTTGTTTCTAATTTTGTTTATATTACTTCACCAAGTCAGGGCACTATTCCATTTATGCATAATTTGGATGACAGACACTGTAGGGAGTACTTGTATTTTTATATATATGTTACTAAGGCTGTAACCACGTTAAGTATTCCCATTAATGTCTGAGTTGGAAATTCAATGCTATTGTGGGCAAAACACACATGAGAATGTGCCATCAGCCCCTCTGTTTCCCTTGGGAAAAAAACAAAAGGTGCCTTTTCCTATCTCCTCCTTGCAGCAGGAGTGATTACCAAAGTGTGTGTAAGGCAGATCCGCATGGGGAAATTCTCACCTTTGGCAAGTGATGCCCAAGTAGGTTTTTCTCAAGGTGGTGGTACAGGAATTGTGTTTTTTCTGGTGCACCTGCTTTTACTAAGGGAAACAAGACCAATACTGGACTTGTGTTGCAAATGCAGTTGAAGGTCTCAAAGCACTGTATGAATGCTCATGATTTTATCACTGTTCCTGGTAAAATTATAGCTCAAGAAATGGATATGGTATAAATAAGTATATATAAGGAAAAGAAATAGTACAGGGAGCAGGGTACAGAGGCTTGGAATAGCATTCCAGAACCCTGAATCACAGTTGTTTCCCAGTGTTCCAGAACTACTGCAGAAGTAGCTTTGACTTCTTTATTTATCTGCTTGCCATTGTAAAACAGTTGAACTCCCAAGACTGCAGCCTTGCAACACAAGCAGAAACTGGAAAACACTTAATTACACAGACCCATAAAAAGAATCCCTTCTGCTGCAGGGAGAACACAGGAACACTGTTAGACCACCTTCCTGTGCTTCTTGTTTTACTATTTTTGTTCTGTGGTTTTAGTGTGGTTTAAGATTTGCAATAGGCTTAAATTTATAAAGTAAAAGTTTGTCCATAATTGTTCCCATACGTAATCATTACTACATGGAAAGTTTAGCTTTATATGTGTAACATAGACTTTCAGAGCTGGCTGGCTGGAGATATTAGAAGAGCTGTGTTTTAGGACTATGCTATGAAAATCAGGCCACTTACTTGGGCATCTTATTTTGGATTGGTGCTTATTTATCAAAATCACAAGTTGTTTGTAAAATCACAACTTTGTTTGTAAAATCAGTTGTAAGCAACCCTTGGCCAGTTATATATTAGTCTGAAAAGTCCACTGAGTAATTCTGGAAGTGCAGAAACCCCAAGAAAATTAATTTGTGTGGCAACTTAATGCTAATTCTTTGTTGTGATACCCATTTAGCAAAGCTGGGCTTTCCAGTGAGGAAGCTGCCTCGTTCCATTGGTCTTTGACTTTCAGAGGAACCAAAGTCAGGAATGAGGATTCTGTGAACTGCTGAGCACCTTTTGCAGAGTACTCAGAAAGGTCAGTCCTATCTGAACATGCACACACATGCACAGAAGTACTTGTGCTGAATAAAAAGCACTATTTTCAAGCATTGTTCCCCCGCTCTTTTTCCTTCTCACATTACTGTTGTTCTTCCACCAGCAAACAGAGCACACCCTAAAAACTTCTCTCTTACCAGACACCAGTTCACAGTGGGTGTTGCTGGAGCTCAGAGCAATACTTGCTTTCATGCCAGAAGGATGTTTCTGTCTTCTGGGACAGACTGTCATTGCTAGCAAATGTCAGAGCTGAGTGTTCCCTTGGCCAGGTCAGATTTTGTAAAGCTGAGGCTGTCACAAGAAGGGTTCATGCCAGATGTAGCAGTGTGAGAGGGGTGGAGAAATTAATGTCTCAGCAGTCTCAGCTGCGCTTCTATTGTCTTCCTTCCACAACCTCTCAGGGTTTTGGCATGTGCAAGGTCTTGAATACTAAATACTGAAGCATTATTCCAAGTTTCCTTTTGCTCTGTGCTGGTCTGCACTGCTGGGGAAGGGCTGACAGTGCAGTTCTGGCCCTGCTGGCTCAGTGGAGCAGAGCCATCTCTGGGTTAAGCTGCTAAACCTTCACACCAGCACTGACACCTGTCACAGCTGAGCTGATATTTGCACTTAGGTTTTATTGCCACACTCAGTAATGAACATCAAATGGCTTCTTGTTGACAAAAATGAGATTAAGCCATTTAGTGCTAATGTGCACTTGTTGTGAAGGTAAACTTACACCACATTTGTATCTTCTCAGGACAACTTGACTGCTTGCACTGTGTTCAAACGGAGCACTTCCCTTATAATGAGGATTTTGTAAAAGTGAATTCTTCACAAAGATTATCACCATATAATGCACTTTTAAAAACATGTATTTATTATTGTCATACAGTAAATGAATGTCTAATAGTCCACAGTTTCAAGGTTCTTTCAAGCATGTTTTTTAAAGAAACATGAAACCCATGTAAATAAAAAGGGGTTGTACATTACACAGTATATCAATGAAGCACATATGCTGGACAAAAGGTCCAGAAGTTGTACAATTGCAAAGTGCTTAATTCATTTTTAAAAGCAATAATAAAACTATGCCTATTGTAATACAGAAGATTGAAATAAAAGCTTTTCACAATTTTCTGTTGTTTCTGTCAATGGTAGTCCTATTAAGAAAGCTCATAAAGAAACTTAATTTTGAGTTGTCACTTAAAGAGCAACATAGTCTGGAAAGTAAGGTGGGTTTGAGTTGCTAAACAATGAACAGCACTTGATAAAGATACAGTGATCAATGTATGTATCTCAAAGATTATCAGGCTGCCATTTCCTACATGGAACCTGTTACCTCAGAATTCTGTGCCTGCAGCACCTGCAGGCACAGAATTTCCAGTGATTTTGGAAAAAGGCTTGCTGCCACTTGATTCTAGTACAGCTTCATGGAAGAGGAGAGAAGGGGATTTTCCTCAAATTGCACTTGTGCTAGACTTTACTT